GCTAGGGGTGTATTTTTGACACAAGATCTTTCCTGGGTTTCAACATTTATGAGTTTGAGTTAATAAACTTGGAGTTTGACTTTTTTTGGAAAATCTTAAGCGTTGGTCATAGCTCCTGAACGGTTGGTGCTAGGACTTTTATATTTTAATTGTACATTCTATGTGAACAGACCTTCCTTAGAATATCAACGTTTTTGCCTCATAATCTAAACCTTGGAATTTAACCTATACCAGTGGCGGATCCAGGAATCTTGAAAAGGGGGGGGGGGGCGACTAGTTTGGGGTCGGGGTAGGGGCCCACTGCCACATAAAAAAAATGATTTAATAAATCTTATGTGTATTTTGGTCACAAGGGGGGGGGGGCTGCCCCACCCTCTTAATCCGCCAGTGTATACATTTGAAAAAAAAATTCCTCTTTGGCTATGATATGCCAAACGGGGGTATCAGTGTTTCAAAATGATCTTGTTTATTCAGAAATTCTTATACCATATTAATCATATGTACAATTCCTTATAATACGATCACTTGGGCTTTGTGATGCACTCTTTGGATAATACTGAAATGAGATTGCATGTATACATCAATACAGGATTCTGCTTTCTACGTAATAACTATTCATTTCAATAGTACATAGCAATTTTATGAATTTTCGGAAGCTTTTTTGATCCTGCTAACAATCTTCCAGATTCTACTATTTAAAAAGAATTTTTCAAAAGATCTTATCAATTTCATCTGTAACATAAGATGACAGAGAGACGCTTTGTGTTTACTTATTCAAATGTACAGTGACACGTAATTCTATAGAATCTTTCTGCCTCGTCTATTGATCAAGTCTGCTAGTTAAGCCTTATTACCACTAGTCTTTGCAGGAAAGAGAAGGGTCTTTTATTTACAAACGTCTCTCATTAATGTCTTGGGAATTTTTGTGATGGGGGACTAGCACTTCTTGTAGGTGGGCTATGCGACAAATCATTTAAAAGCTAGACTAGGAGTTCAGAGATTGACACCTATTCATTAACCTTACGCTTAACAAAGACGTTTTATATCAACTACTTTTGCCAAGATATTTTTTCCCGAAATGTACACCAAGCTAAAGAGAATGATATGGTTCATATCATTTTTCTTGTAAAAAAGTATCTGTATTTTTATCTTTTCTTATGATGTGTACGTTAGCAGTTGCTCTACTCAATGAACATGTATAATGTTCCTTTAATTACATGTACTTGCATGATGCTTTGTGTATGGAAAGAAGTACATGTGTACATCTAAATGTATTTAAAATCTTTCCATATAAATATGATACAAAAACTTCGACATTTTATATACAATCCTAGTTAAGAATAGTTTTGAAATATCACAAAATACAAATTTTATTGATATATTCTTGCTTCCAAGTAATGTTGCGTAGCCATATTGTAATACAATGTACCATATTGTAATTGACAGAGATCTAACTGCTTTGTTGGTTTTGCCGTTAAACACATGTTCTTGCAATATTGTGATTATCTTCAACACCCTGTGACGAAAGTAAAATCGTTTGGTCATCATGTCAATTGTAGTTCATTCCGTCTATTATATTCAAAGTACAACACCCCAGAAATTAATATCTGGTCTGACAGTGATGACAGATAGGGGTTCCCCCGAGATCTGCTTTTGATGACATTCAATCGAATCGATTACAAGTGTTATGTAGTGTGTGTTGTTTAGGTTCCTTGATTCCTCACAATGAAAGGTAAGATTGGGATTGTTTTTACTATGAACGCATGACTTCCCCCTTTTTCTATGAAAGTATTTTGGTGTGGCTAAAGGAAAATAACATTTGAATTTTCAAAAATATAATATTTTTTTATTAATCTGTAAAAATATCTTGACCTTGGTTTTCATGAAGTCACGAATTTTTGTTTAACTTGACATGCATTAGTTCGAATATTTATTATATATTAATCTAAATAGCAGCAAAATGGAACCTTAAACTGGTGGGCCAACTAACACGGGTGACGGTTTTGACTGTTTTGTATGATGAAAAGATATATTTTGTATGATAACGAACACGCACAGAGTAGGTTTAATACTATCAGTTTGTAAAATTACAGCAATTTTGGAGAGTAAACCCACAATCAAAAAATTCTTAAAATTCTTCATATGAAAAAAAAAACGACGATCGATAACCATAGTAGTGTTTGTATACCATTATCCATCATCTAAAAGCTCAAACTAACCCCCTCTCCTTTGCCAATACAACCCCCCCCCCATTTCCCAGTTATACACACAGTGTACACACAAGCAGATACATACTTATCAAGTATCAGTCTTCCCTCTTCTTGAGACAAAAAATATTGAGACAATATTTTCGTCATCGTAAAAACTCGATAACTATTGAATTTAAATTAAGCTCAAACGGCTGCTGTATGTTTGGATAATGAAGCATGTAGCATACAGTGAAACTCCCTCTAGAATCTAAATATCTAGAAAGAATAGCGAACTTCACAACACTTGTGATCAATGTACAGTGAGTGTTGACTGCCAGACTTACCTAAAATGTCGCTTTATTCCAAATTTTTTTGCTATAGTGTAAGACCCCACTTTCCGGATCACTTATTTCACTATTATTCATTTATTTTTTAATAATAAAAGGTTTAAAATCTCTACTAAGAAGGCCCTTAGACCAAGTCCTCTTATTTCTTAAATTCTAAAACTGAAAGGGATTTAGTATAAAAGTGACAACAGTTTATTTCATAATTCCTCAACTGCATAGGAACATACAGTGTAAAGAAATAATTAAAAATAAATATATATGTATTGCATTCGTTGGTACTACTCACTTAAAAAATTATAAAATGAAACACTTTTGATATATCTGAACATTTGTGAAAAAACCCATCTATTTCAAAGCTTGGAATCTCTTTTTAAATTCTGTCCATACTATATTTAAAACAAGAGTCTACAGTTAATACAAAACTGTCAAGCCATGTTTCAAAAACCAAATAAGTCCAAAGAAGTACACGGCCCCTGAATTAATATTTCTCTTCAACCACCAGTGTTTCTTTACGAGAAAATGATCGTTAAATTTATTTTAAAGGAAACTTTAAGAGAAGCAGTGCTCAAGTCATTATAATATATTGTACAGATCTGTCTATGAATTTCCCATCACTATCAGTATACAGTATATTCCTTAAGCTACACTCTTTTCGACCCCATTAAGATTGAGTGATTTGCATATATTCCCCCAATGTACATAATTGATCATTTATAATAGTGGTGTTGGAATTATTCTCCAAAAATCAGAGGCTTAATCATAAACTTGTTAATTTTACGTTCCCTTGTTAGTTTTTTTATTGTCTATAACAATAATTGTATTGGATGTTTTGTAGGATTAAAGGGTTTGTTGTAGAACCAGAGATCACATGATTGATATTCATCTCAGTAGAGAGGTTTATAAAATAACGTTGTTTTCTTCCCTCTTGTCGTTAACGATACTATTGAGGGAAAAATCAACGCCCCATGAAGTCAAACCCTAAACCCTGCATGGACAGATATTAATTAAAAAAATGTTTTATAACAATTAACTATTTTTATGCCCCGCCATGAATATGGCCGAGGCATATAGAGTTTGTAATGTCCGTCTTCCGTCTGTCCTTTCGTTCCGCTTTGCGTTTAGCTCAGTTCAAAGCTTTCAAAGAAACTATTCAGGATATCTTTATCAAACTTCATATGCTAATACATATTAATGAGAGCTATTCAACTGCATCAAAATTTTTTGACCCTGACCTTTCCTTTGACCTTAACCTCACTTTTCTTAAATACTGTTCAGCTCAGTTTTAAAGAAACCATTCAAGATAGTATAATAAAACTTCATATGTTGACACATAAGTAATCTATTCAACTGCATCAACATTTTTTTGAAATTTCCCTTGACTTCATTTTTCTTAAATTATTGTTTAGCTGAGTTTTAAAGACACCATTCAAGATATTTTTATTAAACTTCATTTGCTGATACATACTGATGAGGGCTATTCAACTGCATCAACATTTTTACCTTGACCTTTCCTGTGACCTTGACCTCACTTTTCTTAAATTTGCATTTTGCTTAGTTTTAAAGAAACCATTTAAGATATTTTTATGTAAGCTTATGCACTTATACATAATTTGGTGAGAATTTATCATCTATATCCAACTTTTTAGATTTCAATTTCAATTTTAAAGAAAGTATTCAAGATATTCTGATCAAATTTCATACACTAATACAAATGTTCATGCTGCATTACTAATATACCCCACGGCGGGGCATTCATGTCCTATGGACATATTTCTAGTTCTTATTTAAAATACATTCTCCTATTTGTTAACTTTAGATTTTTATAATAATGAAAAATGAAAAAAAAAAACCAAACTATTTGCTTTCTTAAAAAACAAAGTAATAAAAAAAAAACATTGAACAGATTTAACACACTGCCAATCCGTATAAGTCTAAGAAACAATGAAGAGAAATAATAGTTTAGTAACATGACATTTTCTGCTTAGGTTGTATTTCATTTTTCCTCGGAAAAAAATTTAGGTAATCAAAATAGCTGAATGGAACTCCCTACATCCGTACTGTCATAAATAGTATGTATAAATTTAATTTAATTATAATATATATATTTATATGATTTTTTTGTATCTTGAACTAATCTGTAGTGATATGTCTTAGAATGATTTAAGTATCAGCTGAATGCAGACCCATTAAGTCCGTTAATTTCCCAATACGATGTCTCTACCAAATTTCTGCCACATATTTGTATAACCATTCTGGGTGTAATTGATTTTATCTATAGATAAAATAATTCATATCAAATATACGAAAGTTCATGACCTTTGCTTCTTCAATTTTGACCAGGACCAGTGATACTAATCAACCTTAGTGTTTGCAAAAGGTTTCTGTAGAACTTCTTTTTACAGAAATACAAATATTGCATGTTTCTTTATTAATTAACGTAATTTGTTTCTTTTTCCGTTTTCAGCCCCTCTGGCGATCTCCGATAACTCAGCCCTGACCGACATTGAGTCACCGGAGGCTTCACCTGCCCTTAGAACAAAAATGACGTCATCTCGAAACGCCAATTCAATCACGGATGATGGTGATATTGTGTTTATAACGTCAATAACTTCTGAAACAGATCCAGAACCACAGGATTTACGTCATGTGAAACGAAGACCCAAAAAATGTGACAAATCTGCGGGAGATTCCACCCACCGGAAGAGTGTCAGAAACCTGGTTCGCCGCCGCCTCAGCAGCTTTCACGAACAGATTCCCGTCAAAATTCAAAACTTCCTCCTAAAATATACTCTATTTTTCTTTAATTTTTTATCATGGGTAAGTAGATATTTATTTGAATTTGAAAATGCATATTTTGTTTAAGAAAAATCGTTTAATTCTCATTTGGTAAACATCTGTCTGCGTCCATTAATTATCCAATCTAATTGATCACGGCGAACCGTCTACCAGAATCCCTTTATCAGATGTTTTATTGCTAGATAATTATGAATCTTGAATGGGACTAGTAATCAATAGTAATGATTTGACATGCTATTAAAATTGCATGCATTGCAAATGCTTCCCATGAAAGATAAATATTGCTAATTAAATGTTTGCTTTCAACTCCTTGAAATCAGGACCGTTTGTTTAATAATAACATTTCAGGAGTGAGCTGAATATCAAAGAAACCCAATATGATCAAAGCACTAAAGGCATATACCGGTTGATTTGCTAATTTTCGAACAATTATACATTGTTCATATATGAGTTTATTTAGATTATTTGATTGGTATCTCTTTTTATATGCCCCCGTAATTGAAAATTGGGGGCGTATAGTTCTTGGTTTGCTCGGCTGCTTGCCCGCAAAAACTTTAACTTTAAAACTTTAACCTTGCCCATTACTTTTAATGGGTTGGAGTTAAGGCTTTCATATTTCACATGTGTGTTCCTGTGACAAGACCTTTCTTTGGGTACCAACTTATTTGACCTTGTCCTTGGAGATTCGCTCACCTTTGTTAAATTTTACCAGACTTTAAGGATATAAGCAACGTAGTTTGAACTTTATTGTCTTTTTCCCAAGAGCTGAAGAGTTCCAATACTTAAAGGAACTGTGTGCTACATTTTAATGTCTATATATGCTGTTGTACACTTCTTCTCAAACAAGTTTGGATAAACAAAACATCTAGAATATATGTTTAGTAATTTTCGTACATTTTTCTTTGAATAATACAAGAATTTTCATCAATTGATATCTTTTCAAAACCCCTGGTAATGCATGCTGATTTTTTGTATACAAACATCTGATAACACTATCTTAAATTAAGAATATCTTGAAAAATTAACAGTAGGTAAGGTACGTTGCATATGCCCTTAACCTTGGCCATGTTTTGAACTGTTGGTGCTAGGGCTTTCATATTTCACATCTGGATAATGGTGTAAATTGAGACTGGGCCTGGGGTCAAACCGTCAATACATATTTGTTCTCTTTAATTGTATTAATTTTTAAACTTTATTGTTGTTCTTAAGTTAGGTGGACTTGGGGCAGTGGGAGTCGGCACATGGCAGCTAACAGACGACCAGAAGGTTATCACGGACGCAGTTGACTTTGTCCTTGACCCATTTATCATCCTCTGCATTATTGGTGCTATCACATTCACAATTGCCTTTCTTGGTTGTGTCGGTGCTATAAGGGAACATATTCTGATGCTAAAATCTGTACGTGATGCGTTTTTTTTTCCTGAAAAAAAATATTTGAAAAGAAAATAAATAGAAAAAAAAAAACATTTCAAACAGATGCACTTTAATATCGGTCTAGGGTAAAAAAAATATTTAAAGCAGCACTGATATATAAAGATACCATGAAACGTACACTTTGTGTTTCCTAGCATTTCTATTTATTATAGCTGTATATTTGTCTTTGAATGGTACTGGTTGATAGAATTAGTCTGTGTTTACAAACATTTTTTTGTTGTTGCAGTTTTATATTTGTCTTTCGATCGTACTGGTGATAGAGTTAGTCTGTGGGGTCTTGGTCATTGTGTGTTATACCGAGCCTGCTGCCAGAGACTTTTTACGCCTCACCCCAGAAACGCTACTGAAACGCGCCATACTGCAGTACATGGAGGATAAAAGCATTAAAAAACTGATGGATACCATTCAGCGACAGGTACAATGTATACATGTAGTCATGGTAGTGGATATTTCTAAGAATCATCCTATGGAAACATAGTAACTGTAGGTCACCACAAGCTGGGAGTTAAATTGTTACCAATGACTCTCCTTCCATCATGCACAAACAACCTTAACTGCTAAAACATGTCCATGATTTATTTCAAATGTATTTTAAGCATATAAATTTAAGCGTCAAATGAATATTTGTTATCAATGAAACGAAATGTCTACAGAAAATTTAACATCAACTAAATTGTGTGCACAACTTCTATCGACTTGTTGCACAGTAAACCGAAGACAAAAATTCAATTCTTCTCAATTATTGGTTAATTACAAGCCATAAGCGTGCAATATTGGAACCAGATCTGCATTGCTTGATCCAGTAAAACTATAAAACAATAAATCGCTAACACTGCTCACTGACAGGAAATGGGTTTTAGCGTTTTCAGTAGCATAATTCTATTTTATAGATGAAATGTCAAGCAAAATAAAATGCACTTACACAAGCTCTAAGAGGTCATTGTACCTTATATAGATCGCAAATAAGATTCAGTGTTCAACCATAATATAAAAGCAAACACAGTCTTCGCTTCCTTTGAATGGTTTAGAAAAAGTTTAAGGTTCACGGGCTTAGTCGAAACTTACTGGAAAGCGCTAACAGACGTCAAACGGCCCAGGTGTGCGTTTTGTACGGAACCCATGCTCTTCTTTAAGGACATACGCAAGGTACCTTACCTACTGATCATTTTTCAAGATATTCTTAATGTAAGATTATAGTGCCGTCAGATGTTCGTAGACAAAAAATCAGCATGCATTACCAGGGGTTTTGAAAAGATATCAATTGATGAAAATTCTTGTATAATTCAAAGAAAAATACACAAAAATTACTAAACATATATTCTAGATGTTTTGTTTATCCAAACTTGTTTTAGAAGAAGTGTACAACAGCATATATAGACATAAAAATGTAGCACACAGTTTCTTTAACTATTGGAACTCTTCAACTCCAGGGAAAAAGACAATAAAGTTCAAACTATGTTGCGTATGTCCTTAATTCTTAAGCGTTCTTCTAACATTGATCAATGTGTGTAGGGCATGAGTCACAACTGGACCACTACCAGTCTTGCAATGGATAGACAGGACATTCTCTGGACACTGACCATATGACCGTTATTTTAATGTTTGAAAAAATGTTCTGTCTGTTCTCATGCGTTGCGCATTCGTTTTCTCATTCGTTACTGGAACGATGAATTTCGTTAATTGACTGCTGCTCGTACGATACATGTTTGGCCGTTTTATACCGATCGCGGCGTTTGACGACTTTCATCAAAGTATAAACTCTAAACTAAGCTATGTACACAAATTCAGCTTTAAAAAAAAAAGCTTAGAGAGTCAGCCAGTGGATTTTTCTTTTTTCGTGATAATATTTAAAAGCATTAGGAAACCGAGATTTTGTATAAGGAAAAATGATTTCAGCATTATCTTTAGCCGATTTGGCCAGTTGATCCTAGCTGCAGAACTGTAGCATTATGGTTTTATATACATATATTAGTCTTTGACCTATTCTCTTTAGAGCAGTGGACAGGCTTTCGCCTACATCCACAGGCGAAAGCCTGTCCACTTCTGTAAAGAGAATAGTCCTTAACCATAAAGCTACATTTCCCGTAATGCAAATATAATACGATTTACGGTGCAAGATTTTCTGTGCATGATTGGGAAAAATTTCTCCACTTTCCAGCATTGGTCAATCAACTACCTTTCACTCCCTAATTCTAAACATATTTTTTAACCACCTGTATCTATGTCTCTTCCGATCTATCCATTGCATACCTTTACAAATCAATTTGATAATTAACATCGGAATCGAAATGCTTTAAATGATATGATTGATTGTATATTCTTTTACGTCCCATTCGAGAATTTTTCACTCATACAGAGACGTCACCATATACCGGTGAAGGGCTTCAAATTTGGTCCTTTACTCGGCACTCAGGGTCATTGAGCAGTGAGGGATCTTTATCGTGCCAACGGCTGCCGTAACACGGGGCCTCGGTTTTTAAGGTCTCATCCGAAGGACCCGCAACTCTCACTTCAAAGTGCCGAGCGCCTGGCGAAGGAACAGTTGCAACCTTTTTTTTTTATCGACTTAGGTCAGTCGCGGCCGAGATTCAAACTCATGGCCTTCCGATTACGGAGCGAGCGCTCAACCGACCGAGCTACCGTGACGGTTAGTTTTAAATCATCCATTCGTCATCATCATCATCATGAAAACGAAAGTAAATCAAATAAAATCTGAAAATAATCCAATATTTATGCTGCAGAATTGGATACACGTGTAAAATACATTTAAGATACTTTTTCAAAAGAGTTTCAACTGACGCGCCAAACACTAAGTAAAATGAATTTATACAGGTGTCTTTTATCAATTTTCAATCTAAAGTTGAAAATGATTACATGACAAAGAAGAAGGTATGGTTTTAGCTTTATTGTGCCCTAAAAATTTAATGTTTTCAAAAAGTTTTGAAACTGGCTTAAATATTAGTTGAGTATATGACTGTAATAAATCAGGAAAGAATATAGCATGATGGAGTACCATTCTGGATATATGACGTCATTAATTTGATGCATTTCTCTATTTTAAACAGAAAAAGCCTCAAAATGACCCATTTCAAGGGTTATTTTCCTTAAGAAAATAGTGTCCACAGCCGTCGTCCACGTTAATATTTAGATATGTTGTGTAAAACTCTTTGAAAAATCACATATCTCAAAATCTTTGTGGGCGATGCCTGTGGACAATATTATCTGAAAGAAAATTCCATTGAAAATTGATGTCTTCTGCAACTTTTTAAGAAAGTACGGGAAAATGCACAAGTTTATGGCGTCACAATTAGCATTTGGAAGGTCATGTGAGAAAAAAGATTTGTATGATCTTTCTGCATGGAATTTCAATAATTCAAAAAGCATGAGTTTTAATTTTTTACATCACTTTTATTTTTAAGAAAAACACAGGGCAAGATTTGTATTGAAACCGTACCTTGTTCTTTGTCATGTAATCATTTTCAACTTTAGATTGAAAATTAATAAAAGACACAAGTTTATGTTTCATTGCGTAGAACACACGTTTTGTGAATAGATGCGAAGCAGTTAAATTACTGCAAACCAGATTATAAAACTGTTGAAAATGCAAACTACAAAACCTCAATATAGGCAGTTTTTCCAAAGAAATCAGCACCAAATCCTTACTGTTTTAACCTGTATTTATACTTTACTGTATATGGTGTTAAAAGAGGGATTTCATTCTTTAAACAATATTGATTTTACTGAAACGAAATCAACAGGAGTTACTTACTCTACCTCAACCTCCCAGAATTTCTTGCGCTCCTTAGGTCAACCAATGTCAGGGTACCAGTCTACCTCCCAGAATTCCAGAACACGCAAGCGCATTTGAAGTTTTTCGTAAGATAACTAGTCAGCCCGGGGGCTGACTAATAATTTTAATATTTATTTTTTCTGCAATGGCTGCAACCTTTAATTCTTGCAATTACAAACAAAGGAAGTATTTTATTGTTTAAATCACACTTCTCATGCATTACATGATTATGCTGTCCTTCATCCGTGTGACGTTCGTTCGCGCTATCCGGTAAAGTGCGACTGAGCCCTAAATGCTTTTCATTCCGAATTAAGTTTTAACTGTCGTTGGAATCAGTGTTTTCCAACCCGGAAGTTCTTACTGCTCATGTGTTAATGTCAATTTTCTTGTTAATTCTGCTGCTTATGAGTTGATGTTAATTATTCCGAGATTAATTAAATTATTGTAATAACTACGCTTTCTGATCCGATTTAAGAACGCTTGCTAAATGTACTACAAACACACCAAAATAAATAAATAAAGCATGGATTGGTATAGATTTTTGCACTAAATTTGGTTGTTAATGATGTATATATCAAATCTTTAAAACAGAAATTGTAGACTTACTATGATGTGTAAATGTCTTTCTTGTTTGTCATCACCCTCATAAATTTTTACATTTTTCAACACTTTTAGGACATTATTGAGAAACTTAAATTGAAAATTGAGAAACTTTTAAATGAAACTTTCATTTGACAAAATTTATTTGTCAAAGACTTATGAAGTAAAATCTAAATACACCAATTCCGCACTGTGTGATACGGGTGACGACACAATACCACATATCAAGTAGCGGTCCGAAAAAGTAATCCGTATCACGTATCGGACCGGTGTGTAAAAATCCGTATCAAACCGGAAGTAACGTTTGTATAAATAACTTGATTTTATTTAAATAAACATGTAATATAATTCTTTACTTAAATTTGTTGACTTAATTTGTTTTCAAAGACCTAAAATTGGCTCTATTAGATTTTAAAGAAAACAGTCATAAACATGCACGAAACGTTCTTAAATGACTTTCTGTGAACCCGCATATTAAGTATTTTAAATATATGATAAATAGAATACTACATACTGAAATCCGTATCATATCAGCCCTCGGGCTTATATGGGGCCACTCGGGCTGGTATGACATATGATATGGATTTTAGTATGTAGTATTCTCTATTTATTTTACTTATATAAACATATACATATAATATTTAGTTGTGATTTTCATGATTTTTGAAAAGTTTGTTTATGGCATATGATATGGATGTCCGGTTTTTATTGCTCACGTTTTTTTTATTTTCTTTTAATGTTTTCTATTCTCTAGTTACGGTAGTTTAGCTGTCATGGTATCATTTCCCAAATCTGATCATACAAGTTTAACTGTGTCAGTTTTGATATTTTCTAACTGATGCAAAGTTTTAACTTCTCATGTATTGATGATTTCCATTTTTGTTGGTATTTAACTGTTGCAGAATCAATGCTTTCTAATCGGATTTAAATTTATTTCATATTTTACTTTTCCGCATTTTCTTGTTAGTTAGGCTGTTCTTGTATCGATGTCTTCCTATCTGAATTAGTTTAAACTGTTCATGTTACATGTGTTCATATTCTCCATTCTGATGTTAGTTCTAATGGTGTACATACATGTAGTACCGATGTTGACCAATCTGATTTAAGTTTAAATTGCTCGTGTGTTGATGTAGTTTCATTCTCTTGCTAGCTTATTAAGTTTATGTCAATGTTTTCCAATCCAATAGAAGTTTAACTGCTCATATGTTGATATTTTTCATTTTTTTTTTTTTTTTTTTTTTTTTGTTATCTTTATTATTGTAGTATAACTGCTCATGTGTTGCCGTTTTCCGGTCTGTTGTTCGTTTGACTGTTGAGGTTTAAATGTTCATGTGTAATTGTTTCCGGTCTGTTGGTATTTTGACTGCATGTTGAGGTTTAAATGCTCAAGTGTAGCCATTTCCGGTCTGTTGGTATTTTGACTGCTGAGGTTTAACTGCTCATGTGTGCTGTTTTCCGGTCTGTTGGTATTTTGACTGTTGAGGTTTAACTGCTCATGTGTAGCCGTTTCCGGTCTGTTGGTATTTTGACTGTTGAGGTTTAAATGCTCAGGTGTAGCCGTTTCCGGTCTGTTGGTATTTTGACTGTTGAGGTTTAACTGCTCATGTGTAGCCGTTTCCGGTCTGTTGGTATTTTGACTGTTGAGATTTAACGGCTCATGTGTGCCGCTTTCTGGTCTGTTGGTATTTTGATTGTTGAAGTTTAAGTTTTAATTGCTCGGGTGTTGATGTTTTCCTATCTTATTTTAACTGTTGCAGCATCAATGTTTTCCAAATCCTAATTAAGTTTTAGCTGTTCCAATATTGATGTTTTTCAATTAATTCGATTTAATTTTATCTACTCATTTGTTTGTTTTGCATTCTTAGTTTAACTGTTGTGGTATCAGTGCTACAGATGAGGGATATAAGGACTGGCGACTCAATATGTACTACAATTGCACGGAAGAGAACCAAAGTATATTCCGATGCGCCGTGCCGGAGTCCTGCTGCATTTATTATCCGGTAAATTCTCTAACATTTACTTCAAATCAAAGGCAGATTATTAGTACATGACTTCATTAATTTAATTTGCAAAATGGAACATTTATTTTATTGGCGATACTTCTAGTTTGCGTCTTATCTGTTTGCAGTGAAACATTCAACTTATTTCAAAAAGTACAATAGTTGGTATCATATTTTGCACTCTTCATTTCGTATTGTTTATAATTTATTATCAATTCAGTCTCTTTTTACAAGGCAGGACGTGGAATCTTAAGATCCTAGCTACTCTTGATTGTATGTCGGCGCCTTGTTGTCTTGTTTCAGATTTTTGTTTGTTGTTTCAGGGTGAACGAATGAACACAATGTGTGGTTTTGGGAAAACAGACAAAGACGTAAGTTCATCTGATAGGACTGCTAGTTACAAACTGTGTTTTCTTTGACATATAACTTACTAACTGTTATGTCGAATGTTTGTACACCGAAACAAATAATTCATAAAGTCATTAAACGAAAAAAAAAATATAAAGAGAACTTGAATTATGTGAAAAATCAGATCCAACCCGAGCATCGAAAAGGAACATCGTAAACATGCAATTTTCAAAACTTTTCAATATCGATCGAATGCCTCAATTGTAATCTTTGTACATGTATAAACTAGTACTAGATGTGTCCTCCAACCCCAAAAGTATATGGTGTACTAGTCTTATATGAACTTATCTCGGGTATAAGTATACATATTTATATCTTTAGTTTATATGTGTTGACTTCAAGTCTAATCACTTCTATTTGCGAAAAAAATTTAAATGTCAATAAAATCTATTTAAGATGTCGACTTTTTTTGAGACAGAAAAAAAACAGACAGAAAGACATGGCAAAATCCCTCCTTACAACTTCGTTAGCGAAACAAAGATATTCCCTAAGATCGTCAAGCAAAAAATTTATACTAGGGCCAACTTTAAAAAAAAATATTTGTTTGCACTCTCCGACCTACTAGCTAAAAATGGTCCGTCTCGAAACTTCTTTAAACCTCCAGGATATTTCCCACCCATCTACCAAATTTTTTTTTATCCTGAGTCGGGAGATGGCAAACAAACGTTATTTTAAAGATGGCCTAGTATATTGTCTTTCTATTTGACAGTTAAGCGAGGTGCAGTCCTGGATCTACACTCGCGGCTGTGTGAAGGGTTTTGGAGAGTGGTTATCTAAACACGAGTATATAATTCTACTCACTTCGTGTATCGTCATGTTTATGCAAGTAAGTAAACAAAATGAGAATCAAGTAACCGTTGAAATTAACTCTATCAACCAATCATTGGATGTCATGATCAGTGAAATCTTTGTATCAGTTAAAATCTTCAAGATCAAAGTATCTGTTACATGTGTCATGGAATTCAAATGGTACGTCAAGTTGAGGTTGGTTTTCTTTTCTTCAGTTTCTTGGAGTAATATTCGCCAGAATTTTCTCAAAGAGAGTAGAAAGACGAATCATGTGGCGGAACTTACATCATCATACAGACGAGAGCTAACCTTTAATTAGCACAGTAACAGATTAATTATCGACTCTGTCGTACAATCAGTTCCATATTGAACACCTAGTTAATTATGCACACCATCGGAGTGTATTGTCGATTTGACAAATGTCTTTACATGTATGCACTACAGAGCAGCAACTGCTGTGAAGATGTAAAAATCTGTCACAGTTTTTTTTTTTTTTTTTGAATTTGTACAAAAATGATGCTTTCTTTATATTTTTAATAAAATTATGATGAACATTTTGCTGGGTACATGTACTGGTAAAAGGATTTATCCCTTCCAGCGGATATCATCAATACAACGAATTTGTAGAGCAGTAGGACATTGATTTTCAATGTCTACTTATTCATCAAATCACTACATGCAAAAGCAAGTCTTTCTTCATTAAAAAATTAAAAATTATAAAACTGATGTGACTGAAAAATAAACTCTTCGGTGATGTCCAGAAGAAACAGAAATTCCTACCGACAGAATATTACTGATAAAACCCAGGTGTAAATTCATTAGCACTATTTACAAACCATGAGCAATAATATTATCTCTCTAAATTTGAATATTCATGAGAGCATATTGTTTCTTTTCTCCTGCCGTCCAAGATTTTGACTTCCTTCGGAAGACCCTCATATCATTAGCGTGGTCCTCGTGTAACATGGGTACATAGGAAGGGGGTTCACAAAGCTCCTGCAAGATTTCACAAGAAAACAAATAAGTATAGATCAGTATTTTGAAAACAATATCATCAGCATGTACTGATAGATTTACACCTGTAGATCTAACCTTATAACGTTGCCAGAAGGCTTTATATCCGCCCTGTAACAGGTAGACTTCGGGATGGTTTAGATTAGGATATTTATCTTTGTTTAATTGACGATCTTTGTTCCGTAAAAAGCGACATCTGAAAGGAATTTACAGCCAGACAGATAAACATCAAGTAATAATGAAGAAGACATTTTGTTTACACGTTGTTTACCCATTACCCATGTAAACAAATTTGGTTGTTGTATATGTGATCAGCAGGATTACGGTCAAGTCAGTCACGTGGTAAATAGTGAAACAGTTGTTAAGGAGGAATGACCCTCTCCTGAGGGAAGTAACTCAGTGTCTCCATCATATTTTTTTCATATACAACAAACTGTCAACAATACACGTGTCTTAAAAATTTTGCTCCACCTGGCAGCGTTAGTACCAGTCTCATTAACCCTCCCCCCCCCATCCCCTTTTTCCACTCGACAACAATAGGATCGAGAGAAGGTTAAAGGTTTCTCAGAATAGTGTCACACATGATTTCAGAAAAATTTCCTTACATTATAGTAATTAACCAAAAACAAACACTGTGACGCAATACGTGAGGACTTACTTTTTGGGACCCCTCTCAGAGGAAAATTCACAGTGAAAAACGAGAATATGTCGCTCGTTCTCGCAGTTTTTTCTCTTTTGATGAAGCAGTTGGAGTATGCCTTCTTCTGTAAAAATATTCTCAGCGCCCTGAAAGTAATAACGATTGGATTTAGACAAGCAAAGTTGAGCTATGGCACTTACTTAATCTAACGACAGGACCGTCAAAAGAAGAGCTAGACCAAAATACTACATGTATTCAAATTTACTTTGTCATTAAACAAAAATAAACATTTCCTATTGATATCCTTAAAAGATCAGGGTCGGAATTTTTATATATTTTTTTTTAAATAATTCTTTTTAAAGATTGTTCTCTTGATTAATGTCTCTTTATTCATTGTGTTTGATACCGTGGACATCATTGACAAAGGCAATATTAGTGGCTGCAAATAACACAGTACCAAAAAATTCTCCATAATAGGTCTGATCATAAAACGAATTTCATCTTAACTTCTTCATATTTGAAAAGAAAAAATAAAATAAGATTGAGCAATTTTTAAAAAATAATTAAAAATTAAAGAAACAGTGATTAAAGTTGATCAGTTGGATTAAAGGACCTAAACATTTATAGAAGGCTCTGTACATGTACATGTATATAAATAATCACCTTAATGTGACCACCAGCATATTCGTAAGGGTACCTGCAGTCGATGATGCGGAACGTTTTGATGATGTCTTTGAACGTGTCCTGCATAAGAGCGACCAGAGTTTGTGATGTTATGTTGTGAAGATCATGAACATTTCCTGAAATGGTGGGAAGACTCAGAAAATAGTGTCCGTCTCCAGTTTTGTTAGTTTGCTCATGAGGAGTGTTCTCCTTGTAATCCATTTGTTCGTCTTCATTCTGGAAGGAAAATTTGTGACAATCCAAATTTGAAGTAACAATGCAATGTATTTCTGTATCTATACCCATGATTCCGTCTCGAATTCATACGATAACAAAATTTACAATCATGGTATATAATTATATTAATTTAAAGGAATTACGTGATTCACATATTTTTTAAAAAAAGACGTACTGTAAACGGCGATGCGCAGACCTGGTTCTGAATGGTGGATTGAAACAGATTTTTACGACCTTCAAATGAACGGAAACGTTTTGGTCGGGGTCCATTGCTCTGAAATAGTTCCTGGAAAAAGAAAACAAACACTATGCAGTTTTTTTTTCAGTCTGACACTATTTATTTTAATTTAATTGAGGACAAATTAAAGTAAATATAACCATTGAATACTAGTGAAAATGTTATAAATAGTAAAAAAAGACTTGCTCATACTATAAAAAGTCAAGGAAATTCACTTTGTAAACTGGTAAATCCTCAAAAAAATTTTCATGTTGGATGTCGTTTTAAGTACCTGAAAACAAGGGGATACATATTGTTCCATTGGAGAATTGAGAGGGAGGGTGGTTTCTAATTTTCTCTTGGAGCTGGGGGTCATCAGTTTCTCTATGTCATCATCACTAGATTCATCAAATTGTAAACTACATGTTACCATTTTGTTTCCAGTCTGTAAAAAAGAAAAACGGTAATATTAGTACATATTACTGCGTATTATTTGATTTAAAGCGCTACATGTAAATATATTTCGAAAATCTGATATACACTATCAAAGGAAATAAGTTCACATTCAAATCGCCAACAAGGAAACAAATATTCATAAAGAAAGAATATATATTTATATGCCTTTACGGACTTTCAGTATGAGGAAAAGGGGGGGGGGGTAACTTCAATTATTAAAAAAAATAGAAAGAAAAAGAAAAGATAGGGTGATTTATCCATCCATTAAGGACCTCTATATATGTACACTAAAGAAAAAAATGTTTTTGACATTGAGATTGAATTGTGTAAAGGTATACATACTAAGCTTGTCTATTTAATTTTCAATTTATCCATTTATTTTCATAGGGTACCTCTCATTTACCTCCAGAAAAAATGTTTAAAGATAATAAAGTAATGATGAACAGAAATCACTGTTGTTTATTTAAGAGCCCTCTATATACTGCACACCAGAGATTTGATTTTGTGGTATTTTTATGCAGATAGAGTGATCTGCCCTTTGATCAAGAATACGTTTACAGTTTATTACTTAATTTGTAATCAAATCAAGCATTCATAACACTTTAATAGGCCAAGATGAATAGATAGAACACTTCATTTGCAGGTATTTTGCCCACTTAAGTAAACAACAGTGATTTATGCTCATCAGTACTTCATTGTCTTTGAACATTTTTCCTGGGGGTAAGTAAATGCAAGGCACCTTATGCTGAAAATATGATGTATGGTGTGATACGTAAAATTAGACAATTTAATCTACCCTTCGAATGTCTTACCAGTATTGTTATATGGCTGTGAAATATGGGGTTATGAAAATATTGATATTATTGAACGAGTACATTTACGTTTTCTGAAACATATATTGAATTTAAAAAGTACCACTCCAAGTAATATGATTTATGGAGAAACTGGACGGTTTCCATTATATATAAATATTTACTCAAGAATGGCAAAATATTGGGCAAAACTTGTGTATGGGAAAGAAAACAAATTGTGCAGAATTGTATATATGTATTTACGTAAACAATATGATAAAGGAGAAATGATAAACTCCTGGATTTCATTTGTACAAAATATTTTTGACAGATGTGGTTTATCAAATATATGGTATGAGCAATATATCTATAATGTAGAATGGATAACTGCTACAGTCAAACAAAGATTAAAAGATCAATATATTCAAAAGTGGAATAGTGAAGTTCAAGAATCTTCAAAAAGTTTAAATTATAGAATTTTTAAAACCAATTTTGAGTGCGAAAAATATTTAACACTGTTATCATGTAAATTTAGAAAAACTTTAGTTAAATTTAGAACCACAAACCACCATCTTCCAATTGAAACAGGTAGATGGTACTCAAAGAAGTGAAAGATTCTGTAGCTTATGTGATAGTAATCAGATAGGAGATGAATATCATTATATTTTAGAATGTAGTGCTTTAAACCAAGCGAGGAAAATTTTTTTGAACCCAAAATTTTGTTCTAAGCCAAACACTATGAAGTTTTGTGAAGTTATGTGCCAAAATGATGTTGATTCTTTGAAAAAATTATGTACATTTATTACTAAGATTAATAGTATGGACAATGCAGTTACAGATGTACATCAACTTTTCACTGATTATATTAAGATTTCAGTTGTTAAATATTATTATAAATATAATCATATGGATGTTATGTAGCGAATGGTGTGTGAATGATATGTGAAAAAAATGTCCTGTCACATTATGATTGTGTAATATATATGTGTATTATGTATGTTACTTAGTGAACCCAGGGCCCCAACCCTGGCACTATTATATACTTGGACATGTGATGGGGCAATAAAAAATTAAAGAAAAAAAAAAAAGATTAATAGTATGGTCTGTTCTCCCTAGCTAGCTGAATTAATCTCACCTTTTGCTTGACCCACTGTATTATATGTATATATGTTTTATATGTTTATGTACCTCATGTAACCATTTACATGGTTTTTGAGTGAAAAAATTGAATTGAATTGAATTGATAGATGAGCTCAATAATTACACATTTATTCACTATAATTTTCTCAATGTCCAAAAAAAAATTTCCTCTAGTGTATAGAGGGTCCTTAAGAGTGAAATACATGCAAGTAAAGTTTTATTAATTCATCTGTTGATAATGCTTGAATAGATTTCATATTCTTTTATTTTAGATCTAAGGGCAGATTACTGAAACTGAATAAAAATACCAGCGAAATTAAATATAAAATTAAAATTGAAGTACGGCGATATGCATATTTCAATGGGATTTCGGCGCCATACTGTCAGAAAATCAGAACTCTTTAGTGTGCAGTGTATAGAGGTTTCTTAATTAAGACAGGCCCGTAGGAAGCAATTTCATGGGGGGGGGGGGGGGCACCACACAACCATACATTTTCAGCTGAGGTGGTGGGCTATCAACTATAAAAAAATTCCTTGACAAGCTAAAAAAAAAAAAATGTCACAAGACCTTATTATTGAGGGGACATAAGTATATAATAGGTATGTTTTCTTTAGTATTCTATATATCGGCAAAATTCTTGGGGGGGGGGGGACGCCCCCCTCCCCAGTTCCTACGGCCGTGTAGAACATAAAAATCAAGCTCTGGCAGATTCAATTAATTATTACAGCCTTACACCAAAACTCTAGTTAGTTATATATTTATCATGTAATGAATGTATGTTTAAAACAAACATGTTTGTATATCAATATATTTTTTTTCTATATATAGACCTTGACAGTTGTAGCCATCTATGATGAGAACCTCGTAAGTTGTTAGAACTTGTGTTCAAACCATTTGTATATCATTTATACAATAAATATGTTCAAACCAAAAATCAAGCACTGAAATAACATTTTATTGTGTTTTATATGCTCAAATTATAATGAATTAATAATGCTATTTTAACATCAAAAAAAAAAAAAAAAAAAAAAAAAAAAGGGCCTATACCGTATTAGTGAAATTACAGAAGATTTATCCTGCATGTTCAAGAAAGATTTGATTACAATTTGATATTGTGGATTTTGAAAATACTGGGTATATCTGTACAGGATATGGAGGGGTAGCTTTTGGGATGCTACAATCAGCTTACAATGCACAGTCTGTAGCTGCTGAATCTGTGCTCTACACAGCTTTCTGGTCTGGATACAGTATATACATATTGAGGATTATCATTCAGGGGCGTAGCTTGATTTAAAATTCTAGCGAGGCAAAACCATAGGGGCAGGGGGTATGGGGCCGCCTTAGGCCCCAAGTAGGTTCAGGGCAGCGCCATGATGGTGGTGGTTGGGGGGGGGGGGCGGGGGTAGGGGGAGCACCATACACCCCTCCGGACAGAATATGGATTTGGGTGTTTTATCACACTTCTGCACAGAAGTTTAGTTAATTTTGCCGGTTTCATAGCGTGGATATGATACCACATATTACTAAAGTATTTAATTAAAAGGGCATCGTCAGAAACCCACGAGGTAAGAGAAGCTAGACCGACCACAGGTTTCCGACGTTGGTAAAAGAGTTAATAAATATGTTTACTAAAACTAAACATTTTAAGATGAATACACTTTTTTTAAATTTTGTTTTTATTTCGTCAAAACTATAATCAGTGATAATTGTCAAACATTTATCAGTTTTTAATTTTTTCCAATCATTGCCTACTTGGAGTTTTCATTTATGGAGGTAGAGCCCGAACCTTGATGGTACAGTGTATGAACGTACATTATAGAATTGCTTAAATTATAATTTTTACAAGATATTTTCTGCAATGTATCATAAACTATGGGAGGGAGTGTTGGTGGTTAAAAATCTAGTGAGGCAGTTGCCTCAATGCCACAATGGAAGCTACGCCCTTGTCATTGGCCTTCTGTAGTTTTTATTTAATCTATGTTATTCATATAAACTCGTATTACTTATAAATCATATATGTAGCTATGATAAATAATACCTTGGATTCGGTCCATTTTAATCTTGAAGTACCTGGCGATCTGCTGTCCATTTTTTGTTGAGAAGTTGTCACCTGCCTTGGCCTGGTAACTCCTGTCAGTCAAGTCGATGGTATGAAGAAATCCAGCTCACAAAGTTGAAGAGCACATAAATAATCTATGGAGAAACTTATATAAGATACAAAAGACAGAAAATCTATGTTGTAGTTAATTTTCAGACAATATCATCCATGAAGCGTCGCGTCTGTTGACATTATCCGGAATTGACATGTCCCATCTTAAAACTTTTGAATTAGCTTCCCATTTGAAGTTCCTGTAAGTTTGTGTGAGCAGTGACTCAGAACGAATCATAACAAATGAGAGTGTCGCTGCGGTTATTGAGCAGGATGCCTCCAGTGTTGAAAAAGTTTGATTACCTGGTCATTGGAGGGGGATCTGGAGGGATTGCCAGCGCTAGACGTGCAGCAGAGTTCGGAGTCAAAGTGGGAATTATCGAAGAGGCTCGCATGGGAGGCACATGTGTAAGTCAACTGAAGCGTCGTGTCGATATCTGGGACAAGTTTAACAATATATATAAAAAAGAGGGTAATAAAGGAAAACAAATGATTGATAACGTCTATCTAAAAAAGCTATTTGCCTGTCTATAATCTTATTCACATGCACTTCTATTTTTTTTTTTATTTATAAACTGTTCAACAGGTCCAGTCCAAAGACTTTGTGCATATGTAGCTATTTATATTTATAGCTACATAGGTATTTAAACCTACTTCAGGTAGCTATTTTTACCTTCTTTTTGCTTAACATGCATTCCATGGCCAAACGCTGGAGTGTTGGAATATGGTTCTTGATACAGTTACACCGACAATGAAGACAACAAAAATTTTGGCCAAAAATGATTACTCTCTAACTTATCAATAGTGCATCAATAACTACATCCAGTTCCATTTCGTAGAAGTTAAGGATCAAAGCTAAGTGTTAAGAAGCCTAAAATGTTTACAAATCTGTATCAGTTTTACAACTTATCTTAATATGCATCCTAGATAAAAGGTTTCAGGACAGTTCTTCATGCATTTCCTCTCGAGTCTCTTTACCCTTTTAACATTTACAAAACACAGGAATTTTGCGATGCAGGTGCATAACATGAGAAACAAGTTTGACTTGTTTTAAAGATGTGCCTTAATTAATTTTTATTTATATAAGTCAGATAAAAGTAGGTAGAAGTTGCTATTTTACTAGGTTTTAAAAACCTAGGTAGCTTTTAATAGCTTCCTAGGTAGAAATAGTCTTTGGACTGGACCTGTTTAAGTTATAAAAGTATCACCCTGACATTAAAGAATGAAAAGGAGAGATTGAGTGGGGTTAAATTCAAAATTAAAGGAATTAACTAAATGCAGTATCTGTGAAAAGCATGGGATTTAATAAATTGATAAAGATTTCCTCTCATATATTATGACAAACTCTTAACCTGCAAAACTTGTGTCTGTTATGGTAACCCTAATCCAACTTCACGGTCACCAAGCAGTATCTAGTGAATATGACCATTCCAAGTTTTTTCTATGTTTAGCATCCATGGGTGGATTGGTTTTGAGGTTATGAAATTAAAAACAAACACAAATTAAAATCGACAAATACAAATCTTTGAAAAGCAATTTATGCTTTTGGATCAGCATCTTTCTTTTTTAAGTGGTGTAGCAAATTTTTTTAATTTCAATAACCTAGTAGTTTACAGATGCGAGGAGAATTCTCAAATGATGATGAGAAATTCTCAAATTGTGCTTAAAATGTGTTTTTTCCCTTTTGGTTTGTGTGTTTTTTCTGGATAGATAGATAGGTTTTTGAATTAAGGGTGGACAACAAACAAAGGAAAAACTTGCAATGGCCTAATAGTGATAATGCAGAATATGGTGTGTGATTTATTGCAGGTCAACGTAGGATGTGTACCAAAGAAAATTATGTTCAACACTGCTGTACATGCAGAAATGATTAAGGATCACAAAGACTATGGATTTGATGTAGACTTTAAACAATTTACATGGGGGTATACACTACAGTCATAATTATCTGTAATTATAATTAATCAAGTAAAGAAAATCTGGCTTTCATTTTTTATCCATACTTAAAGATAAATTAATATATAATTTGGCAAACAAATGCTCTCAAACAGTTCAAAAGACACCTAGCTAAATTAAAAGATATTTTTTATAATCATGTTTTTGCTATCAGATATTCTGTAATTGTAGGAGAGTAAAAGCAACCCGGGACAACTACATAAAAAGACTGAATGGAATCTATGAAGCCAACCTTGATAAGGTTGAACCTTGTTTAATTATTATGTATCATTTTTAAAACAAAATTGAAAGAGTTCAACATTGTATCAGTATGAAATGAATTAAGTTTTAATTCTCATGAATGTTCTCTAATGAGTAGTGTTAATTCCATCTTATAAAAAAATTCTTTCTACATTCTTGAGTTTTAAATTGATATTAAAAAGTAAACTCAGATAAGGTTTTTTAAAGCTTTAACTTAATTTTCTATACATAAAGTCCAAAGTGGATCACATTCATGGTCATGCCAAATTCACAGATGATGGGAAGGTGGAGGTAGGAGGCAATCTTTACGAGGCTGACAAGATTCTGGTTGCAACAGGAGGCCACCCCGTTATTCCAGACACACCAGGAGCTGAGCATGGAATCACAAGTGATGGGTTCTTTGAGCTTGAAGACCTACCAAAGTAAGTCAGAAAGCTTCTGTTTTCACTTTAGGTATTATAGTGTGTGGATTTTGGACATATAATGACAAATAAAAGAAAGAATATTGTTTAATACAGAAGTTTTGATTGTTGGCCAGATTGAATGTCACGTATGAATCATTTTAGAAAACTGAAAACCCTAATATAGTGAACATATATGAAACACATATTGTGTTGTTTGTAGGCGTGTGGTGGTGGTAGGAGCAGGTTACATTGCTGTAGAACTGGCAGGAATATTTGGAACTCTAGGAGCAAACACATCTCTACTAATTAGATATGATCAGGTAAACAAATATAAACATCATTCTTCTTTCAATGCAGTTCGAGTTTTCTGCCTTCTCGTATAAAAATGAATAAACTAAAAACCACCTTGTACATACATGTGGTATACAGTTTTTAGTTAATTCAAGTACATTGTATTCTTATCGTCATATTAGACCAAGATGAAGTACTGAATACTTTATTTGCATGTGATTTCCCCAATTAAGTAAGCAAGTAAGCAACAGTGATTTCAGTACATCAATACTTTCTTGTTTTTAAACAATTTTTCGGGGGGGGGGGGGGGGGGGGTAGATGACAGGTAATCTATGTTGAAAATAAAATATATCAACTCGATATTCTCACGTTTATAGGATATAAGAACATTACAGTGTATAGAGAGTCCTTAATTCAAAGTCGTAGCAGATTCTCTGAAATTCTGTGAAAATTACTTAGATTTAAGACTATGAAAATTTCTCTTTTATATCGAGGGATCGATGGTAACTTTGTTTATACTAATTATATATACACACTTGTTTAGTTTTATATATGGTCCAAATTTCATCAGGTACTTAGGAACTTTGACTCCATGGTTAGCCAGGCAGTGACAGATAATCTAGAGCATGGTGGGGTGGACATCAGGAGGAGAACACAGGTGAGATTTAAGGCTATGAGAGGTAGGAGTACAGTGTGACTGTGTTATCTTGAATTGATTGGGACACAGAAAAGTTCTTTCAAATATCTGAGGATTTGAGATATTGAGGTTAAAATAAAAAAAAAAAGTGGTTTGGACTTCCAGACATTTTCAACATATCCATGGTACTCAAGATATTGATGTTTGAGCTGGAGTTGTATTGTCAGAAGTACTCATATTAGGGGGTGTCAGCTAGTGAACAAATTTAGGAGGAATGGCTATTAAATGAAAGTAATTCTTTATATTCAAATTAGCAGCTAAACAGTATTCTGAAAGCAAATCATCTCCCCAGTTGAAAAGCTCATTTGCTTAAATGAAGATGTTTATTTATAGATAACAAAAGTGACAAAGGAAGGAGACGGTACGTTAACATTAGAGCTGACTACTGGTCAGATATCAGGGGTGGACTGCTTACTCTGGGCCGTAGGAAGAAAACCAAATACTGCTGGACTCAACCTGGAGAAACTGGTAGAGGAGCTGTCTCTTAAATAACTGAAATTGCTTAGCAACTGAAAAGATTGTCCGTACAATACACTGAAATGCATAATTTTACTTGAAGATCAGCTTCAAATGCAGTATTATATTTCATGTCTCACAATTTTGCAGAGAATAGAGACAGAAGCTGTCTCTTAAATAATTTGAAACCACTTGTATCTGAAAGGACTGTCAATGAACTGAGCATTTAAACTTTTGGAGAAAAAAAACCCTGAATAGCAAATTTTACTTCTAAATCAGCTTCATCTATCTTATGCCTCACAATTTTGCAGGGAGTAAAGATGGATAAGGCAGGACATATAGTTGTGGATGAATACCAAAACACCACTGCCAAAAATTTTTATGCTTTGGGAGATGTTTGTGGAAAGGCCCTTCTTACACCTGGTAGATAGTTTTTACTTCTTCATGCACAACATTTGATGCTTAAAAAATCTTTGTTCATAAAAAAACCCCCATTTTTTTCTTTTTTCTTTAAAACAGTTTTACCTGGCATAATATTTAAAGAATATACATGTAGTAAGGAAGATAAATTAATAATTTTAAGTTTCATTTTCCAGTTGCCATAGCAGCAGGACGTAGACTAGCCCACCGTCTCTTTGACAACAAACCAGACTTAAAACTGGACTACAGCAACATTGCCACAGTTGTATTCTCCCATCCCCCAGTAGGCACTGTGGGCCTAACAGAAGGTGAGACTAGATAAAATATATGTATCTAGCTATTACAGTAGTGGTCTTTAATGTGTAAGGAGTTTCTACACATAAAGAAAAGCAATGTAGTGTGGTAAGACCTCTTATGAGAAGTATAACAAGTGAGGTTCCTGATAAATTCAAGGGACAATTTTCATGGAGATTTTATTTGTAGTTTAGCTATAGAAGCCAAACCAGTGTACATAACTGTTTTCAATAGACTCCCAAAAAAAGGGGAAACTTACTTACAGTAAACATAAGTCTTCTTACAATGTGGGCTTTCAAATATTTAGTATGTCAATTGCCTTGGTTTATGGTTTCAGAGGAAGCTAAAAGCCAGTATGGAGCAGAGAACATAAAGATTTACTCATCTACCTTCACCCCTATGTATTATGCTGTCACCACACGTAAGGAAAAGTGTATGATGAAGCTGATCTGTGTCCTCCCAGAAGAAAAAGTAAGTCACCAATTTAAATATACAATTTTATAAGTGTATAACACTTTATGTAGATGATTATTGTAATTGATGCATTCTGAAGTACTGTGTATCAATCAGATAACAGAGGAGATGAAGAAATAGTATTTGTGATATTGTCTGGCTTTATTATTTTTAAACAATTTAAAAAGATTTACCTCAAATTTTCTATTTATAAAACATAATGGAGTTCCCTTTCTGTTAATTTCCTTGTATGTATCACAGGTTGTAGGGTTACACATGGTGGGACTGGCTGTAGATGAAATACTACAGGGATTTGCTGTAGCCATTAAAATGGGGGCAACAAAAGCTCACTTTGATGACACAGTGGCAATTCATCCTACCTCAGCCGAGGAACTGGTCACCCTCAGATAAAATCCTCACAGCTCTACTTCATCATATCATACAGACAGATAATCACATATCGTCTTAGATACTTACAGATAATCACATATCATCTTAGATTCTTACAGTTACAGATAATCACGTATCATCTTAGATACTTACAGATAAATCACTTATCATCTTAGATATAATATACTTAATGATTACCTGTCTATTTTTGTATTCATTATGAATCGCTTGTTGGTAGGAATGGCTTTTAGCTACAGTTAAACTCTGGTATCTCGAACACAGATATCTGGAATACCATGGATATGTTGAAGTGATTTTGAAGTCCCAACCGCTTATTCCTTAGTATTTTACCCTGGATATCTCGAATCATTGCTTATCTCGAAGTTATCGAGTTTGAGATAACAAGTTTCGACTGTATTTGTTTTGTTATTTGATTCTTTTTGATCTCTAGTTACTACCAAGATTGTTCTTTTACTTTGATAAAATGTATGTTGAATATGGACAGAAATTAGTTGTATTTTTATATATCTTTCTGTAGCAAAACAAATATAAAATTGTTTTAAAACAAAACAATACATTTAAATATCTCTCTTGTAGTATTGTATATTATGAAGCACTCATTGCAGAAGAATAAAAAAATATACATATATACTCAGTATACAGGCTAGTATGTGTCTTTTGTAATAAAACAAAATCTTGTCTTACAATTTCAATATATCACAGAATCTAGGCACATTAAGAGAACTACATCATTTTATCATAGTTTACAGTACAGGATTTAACTTGTATCAGTTATTTGTATGGGAAAGGAACAACATCACTGCAAGTTGTTCCAGAGTGATCCAAACCTGTAAGACAAGAAAGTAAATCAAATTGTAGTCATAATTACTGTGGGAGCTTGGACTAGAGTATTTATATAAGAAGTGATTGATCTGGGGTTCATTTCCAAGGTAGATAAGAGATAGATATGTTACATGACTAAAATCATATTGTTTAGATGAGACATTTTTAACAAGGGGCCCATGAGGTACAAAACTCAGAGAGTGTCATTTCTCTTCTTGCCTATATATATAATATGCATATACATAGAAATCAGACATACTGATGCTCTAAACAAAATGCTTATGTCTTCATTTGCTGTAAATTGATGCTTGATCAAGTTCTTGAGGAAGTCCATGCATTTCTATGTCAAACTTTGATTTCTATCCCCCCCCCCCCCCAAAAAAAAAAAACACTTTACGCTGAATATCATTCAACCTAGTCTGAAAAGTCTGACGTTTCCAAGCGTTTTCAAGATTTTGATATTTTACGTACCAGGAAAACGTCAGAACCGGCGCCGTTATGAAAAATGGAAATTTGAAACCTCCAACCGGAGGCTAACTCACATCTTATCAACAGTACAATGCTTCTAGTACTTACCAATCTTTTTAATTGTTTCTTTGTTATATAAAGTATCCGGTGAAAACATTTTATCAAACTGTCGAGGTTTGATTTTGTGCATTTTGAAATATCGTGAGATTTATATCGAAATGTAGAGTGATATTTTCTTTTAAGCGACATTGGTGAGAACCAGAGGCATTTTGCAATTGATAAGTTTTGAGTTTGACATTTACTTAATTCGATTTGCAAGTTCAGTTTGGGCCGGCGATATTTCCACTTTTCATAATGGTGCCGATTCTGACGTTTTCCTGGCACGTAAAGAAATAAAATCGTGAAAAACGCATGGAAAACGTCAGATATTTCGGACTATATTCAACCCAAATTTCTACATGAGAAACTGAGTATTTTACCTGTGCCATCTTTTGTTTTGATGTCACTTTTCTCATCAATATACGTCACTTCCTCTCCTCCAATTAGTCTACCCACCAGGGCGTCGTTAGTAGCTTTCTCGTTTCCCACCAGGAAGTAAGTCTCCATGGCCGTTATACCGCGTAGTTCAGTCTGACCTCTTGGCTCCATTTTAAAACCTTTCTCGCAAATTGCACTGTGTAAAAAAAGACTTGTATCATGTGCATTTTATATAGTCATCCAGAGAATCAAACGAGATCCCAAAGGTAACTAGTCTAAGACTTTACTTGTAAGTGGTGGGGCTGACGTGGATCTTGCCCGGCTCTCCATGACTTTCCATCTTGGACGCCACCACCGCTGTTTCCCCCATCACTACAAACCTTGGCAAACGAGAATTTACAACTCCACAAACAAGCGATCCAGTATGGATACCGATGCGAAGCTGGAGAGGAAAAAATATATTGCTTTTAAATTTGTAAAAGATCAACGATAAAAGAATAATGACAGTGATTGTAATGTGAAGATTAACCTGGATCTTTTCCCCATACAGTGGAGACGCGACTTCATTTCCGAGAATGAGCATCCCCAAAGCAGTATTGGCAATTCTTTCAGCATGGTGTGTCTGCGACTCTGGTGTTCCCGAAACAACAAAGTATGCATCGCCGATAGATTCAACCTATAACAGAATTAATGATGGTGGAAAATCCAGAATGGCACGAAAGATAATTTTAAAAATATCAAAATCCTTTACCCGAAAAGTGTCATGGACACGTGTGAGTCTATCAAATTTCCTGTACAGAGCGTTTAGAACTTCTAGGACATCGCTTGGCTTACAGTTAGCAACGAGCTGTATGAACCCAACGACATCACAAAACAACGCGGTCACATCAGGATAAAAGTCTGGAGAAAGAAAAATAAACATTTTGTTAAAATGGTACGTATTGGTTAGAAACCGTGAACTAATCGATCCAATTTGACCAAATGCATGACGCATTTCCGATAAATGTTTTGCAAACATGACTTTATCTTTGTATTTTTAAAAATGGACACGAAATGAGCAAAGGCAACCCAAAAATTGCTCTATGAAAAAAAAAAAAAGAAAAGAAAGAATTTAAATATCCGATTGAAAGTGTACCCGCTCCCGGAAGTTCGCCTTTTCGGATTGCCAGGGCTAGAGACCGAGGTAGGAAAGCGTGATACAGACGTTCGTTCCTGTTCCTTTCGTTGTCCAAATCTCGCTGTACCCGGATCCATTTTGTCCTGACGTTTCCAGTTTCTTTCTCATTACCAGTGTCTTTATCATCGTCACCCATTCTGTTCATCATTTCACCTGCGTTAATGAGCGAGTTGTTGTCAAGAAAGAAATGGCCATAATACTGCCCTGACCCAACGCTGAAAACACATTATAACCAGACATTCAAATGCTTGTGTCAGTATTGCATTGTCTCGAAAGGGACAAATCTAAATCACATACCGAAAAGCCATATCCGATAGTAGGAAATCTCTGGTGGCATCCCACATTGGAAGGTCGGCGAGTCTCATCGTTCTGGCTTCAAGGTCCTCCCAGGTCCTTATGTAGGGCGAAGCCACGAAAAAGACAAATCCTTTATCCCGTAAATGAAACATCTGTCCTACATCAAAGAAAAAAGGAAATATTGACATATAGCTTACTATTAATCAATGTATGGATACACGATGTGTTCATAGACATATTTTAAATGAGATGGCAATTTACTATTTAGTAATTGTATTATCATAAGATAGAGGTATTATCACCTTTTCGAAAAGGTGATAAAGAAGATGGGTGAACATGACGAGCGAAAAGCCTACAGAGTGACAAACATGAAGGTGAAAAATTAAATCTCAATTATATCAAAATTTTCCACAATATTTCATCTAACATTAAAATATACTTCATGAAAAATCTCTACAGTTTGCAAAAATCTCACAAAGATTGAAATTATTTGCCTATGAAATAATATACACCCACTAAAGAGGGCAAAATGAGTCATTTTCTCATTCTATAACACTATTTTTTGATATGAGTGGGTCTTCACTCAAATTTGAGAGTTAATCTTGAAAGTTTGCATAAAAATATACATCTTTTGGTTACCAAAAACATGGAGCAAAGACCCACTATACTTTAAAAATATACTTTTATGACATAACATTCGCATATTTTCGAGAAATACTTGAGTCCATTAAGTCAAAGGTCATATCACAAAGATAATTTAAATGCCACTATTTATCAGGACTTTTGTAGTCTAGTAGTTATTGCTAGTTTCGAAAGAAAATGATACTCAGAATTTTTATTGCTAGGGTTCGAAAATTTTCCTCGGAAAAGTTTTGTTTATCATAATTTCATAAACTTCAATAATGAGAACGTTACTCTAAATACAAAATTCACAAATTGAACATGGTTTTTAAAATATCTGAAGCTATAGGATTTCTGCACGCTAAGTTCATCCATCTCCTTTAATCGAACTTATAAGCACTGGTGATATCACCTTTAAGAACAAAAGAAAAAAAAGGAAGATAATAAATAGTGATCAACTTCATAAATCAAATTATAAACAGGGTAAGAACATTGCCCCATAGAAACACCAGACGTGAAATCAGGTGCCTTGGAGGAGTAAGCATCCTCGTCGACAGGTCTTGCAGGCTGCGAGCCCTCTGTATTGATCAGGTAAATGGAATGATTCCAAGTCAAAATTGTTATAAAAAAACTGGTATGAAACTTTTCAGTCAACATTCGACCGCAAGATTGGTTGTACATGTATTAGCATACAAGTTCATTATGTCCATCAGACGACCACAGAAATTAATGCTGCCTTTAAACAAGATTATTAAAAGCTCTGTAACATCATCTTATTTGTCAGTGGCCTACCTCGGTTTAAATACGTCAGTTTAATAGTACTCTGAACATATTCTTGCGTACGATTGTTGGGCGGATAGTGGAATGTTACTACATGCTAAGTAAATAGGAGAAATTGAAGGTGTAAATGTATTCCGTTTGTTGTATTATTTACATGTAGTCTTAGTTTCCCATAAACTTCTATAGTCAGTAAAACATCCAAAGACAAAAGAGATGTGACAGACCCTTCAGAATTCATAGTACTTATGTGTAGAATAAGAATGATTCTCATTAAAGTAATTTTGTAGATGACCAATCACAAGACATACGAATTTTTGATGTCCATGATGTCAAAAAGTCTTGTCTTTGTATAAGGTGTTGATAAAGCAACGCGTTCGGATGCTACTGATTCTGGAGTATATTTTTAAAAGTTATTATTTCAAAATTTCTAAAGTTTTTTGAAGATTTAGAGAATCCACATCTGCTTTACACCTCTTCTTGAATATGTTCTAGCCAGTACCTCTGAAATTTCTCCTTCACTCTAGTTAATATTTTTTGTGAGGAGTAAAAAGGAATTTGACAGACATTTCTGGCCTCTGCAATGTATCTGTAAGATTTATACTGAAAGTAAATTTAGAAGGGCAACTGGCTTCCACAGACTGGGATGTTAAAAGTATTTAAAAAGTGATACGTGATTTTTTGAAGATTTGGTATCATCAATTACAATTGTCCTTATCATCTAATCAAAAGTTAAACGTGATTTCACCTATTCATATAATTTATATAACTTCTTCGAATGGCATTTCTAATGCGAATTAGGAATATCATTAATTTAAGAGCCTAATTACATGTAGTGATATTTCCAATATTACATTGAATCTATTTGGTGAAATAAAAAAAAATCATACAAAATACCAAAAGGGCACCTCATATATTTGTATATACCTTTGATTAACAGAGGGGGTCG